AACATGTTTCTGCTTAGTGTTTGAACATCTTAGCACAATTCCGGTTTTATTGGCAGAAAGGGTAAGGGGCCGTCCATAAATGACGTCACGCGATTTTGGAGGATTTTTGACTCTCCCCCCCTCGTCACACGGCGTCGCAAAAAGTCAGACCACCCCCCCCCCCTAAAAAAAAACCTATAAAACATGCTTCAAATCGCTTTAAACTATTGTCATTGTAGTGCGTATTTAATGTGCCCATACACTCTGATGTTGTAGGAGAAAACATTTATTAAAATGTATATTTAATTATGTAGAACGTGTTGTCTATAGTTACTTAAAGTTGCGCATTTTGATGTGACGTCACATTTCTCAATCCCCCTCCCCCCCCTCGTCACACATCGTCACAAATGTCTGACCCCCCCCCCCCCCCTTAGGTGCGTGACGTCATTTATGGACGGTCCCTAAAACATATTCTTATTTGTCATACTTTTGTAATGCGCGACTTCTCACTCTGAGTACAACACTTCGATGCTCACGTCTCTATGGGCTTTTTAATCCGACCCGCCGAACTTGTCCAAATATTATTATTAAATTAAATAAAATTTTACCTTTCTCCTGTGATGCCCCCATTTCCCCATTAGATGGCGCACTTTGACCGGGAGTGTGGTGTGTAACTGCTACCTGCTACCTGTTAAAGGCAAAATCCTTTCATGTAATGATTTTTACACGTCATTTATATGAGTTCACACAAACACTCCGTCCATCTGTTCCTGGCCCAGCCCCTCTGTCAAAATTTTTGGAACCCATTGTGGCCCCACGAGTCAAAAAATTTGCCCACCGATGGGCTACACAGACACACACGGCCCATCACTCGGTGTGGTTCCACCGTCCGCACCCGGCCGAGCCGCTGGCCGGCGGCGTGCCGGGGATGGCGATGGATGCCCTCAGGAAGTCTTCCACGTGGCCGGATGACGGAGAGCAGCAACTTGATCCCTTGCAGAATGTTTCCATTTGGTGTTTGAACATCTAAACACAACCCCTGCTGTTTTTTTGCCAGAAAGGGAGAAAACCTCTTCTCATTTTGCGTCATTGTTTGCGTTGTGTTTGTTGTTGTTGATGTCACTTTTCTGACCCCGTGCCCACCCCCTTTAGTGGACATCTGTGAAGAAAAATAGCTTCATGGCTCATCGGATTTCTCATCCTGCTGCAGTCTGAACAACAGATTGTGATTCACCCCCCCCCCCCACATCGCCTAGGAACAGTCCCTCCGAGACCACAAATCTGTCTTTCCGCCTGATGCTGCTGATTAAACGTCGCACTCAGATTATAAATGTCGTGGATTTGCTCTCCAATACACAACCGGTGTGTGGAGGTACCAGTAACGATTTGGCACGTTCTATTCACGTGATAAACCTTTACTAATTTATAATTACGCGATCTAACCCAAAAAACCTTATGGATAATATTTGTCGCGAAAGCCCTACTACTATAATAATAGGGGTTTTCCCCTTTTTTCTGGCAACAAAACTGAAACCTTTTTACAAGGATTCATGTCTGCATTAACCACGCCTTTTGGCGTCCTCTGGTAGAGCACCAATTGGGTCGAGGCTCAAAAGAAAGCCGTCCCTTGGTGTGGACCAATCAGTTTCAAGGATAATGCATATATTATCATAGTGTGTTTTACGTTTGCATTTGACTGCAGGTATTGTGGTTAATGCAGACATGAATCATTGTAAAAAGGTTTCAGTTTTGTTGCCACAAAAAAGGGGGAAAACATTATTATATTTTGGTACTGACAAAATGATGTAGCCCTACTATTCTTGATTTGAAGTTTTCGTGACTGCAGGAATCCATACTCGTTGGTTATTTCGGTAAAGTCACGTAGGTAAGTGACTTTACCGAAAGGACCAACGAGTACTACTACTAGTTGTTAAATCATCCCTCTCCCTGCCATCCTGGCATCGCACATCTCCCTCTCACCCTTTGTGCCGCGGATGCTGGGCCCTACAGGACAGGGCCACGTGGCCATTTCGGGCTGGGCCCGACCGGGTCACGTGGGGTTACCCGGCCACCACGCTGAGGCCGGTCCAGGACACGCTGGCGGGACTGTGTCGCTCGGCTGGTCTGGGAACGCCTGGGAATTCCCCCAGGAGTCTGTGTATAGTAGTGTATAGTGTAGTGTATTGTAGTGTATAGTGTAGTGTAGAGTAGTGTATAGTGTAGTGTATAGTAGTGTATAGTGTAGTGTATAGTAGTGTATTGTAGTGTATAGTGTAGTGTATTGTAGTGTATAATGTAGTGTATAGTAGTGTATAGTGTAGAGTATTGTAGTGTATAGTGTAGTATATAGTAGTGTGTAGTGTTGTGTATAGTAGTGTATAGGGTAGTGTATAATAGTGTCTAGTGTAGTGTATTGTAGTGTAGTGTAAAGTATAGTGTATAGTAGTGTTTAGTGTAGTGTATAGTAGTGTATAGTGTAGTGTATAGATGTGTATAGTGTAGTGTATAGTGTAGTGTATAGTGTAGTGTATAGTAGTGTATAGTAGTGTATAGTGTATAAGTGTATTGTGTTGTATATAGTGGTGTATAGTATAGTGTATTGTGTTGTATATAGTAGTGTATAGTGTAGTGTATAGTGTATCGTAATGTAGTGCTGGAATCTGTCGCCAGGGAAAGGGAGGTGTGGACCGCCACTACTCAACGCGCTGCTGCCACTGCAACCCTCACCGGGACAAGCGGACTGAGAAATGAACGAACAAATTAACCAGGGAGGACTGCCGGACCCAAACCGCTAAAAACAAACTAACAACAACAAATCTTTGCAACAACAAAGCGGCTAATGCGCCACCCACCTCCTCATTTGTCACTTTTCCGTCTTACATTTATTTGGGGGGGGGGGGGGGGGAGGATTAAAATTGTCAAAAAAATAATGTTGCGTACAGTACAATACAGTGTGTAATGTATTTTTTGTTCAAAGATTTGGACGATACCCCCCCCCCCCCCGTTAGAAAGCTTTCGATTGGCTGTAGGCCACGTGCCGGCCAGCCAATATCTGTCGGCCACGTGCCGCCCAGCCAATGGCTGTAGGCCACGTGCCGCCCAGCCAATGGCTGTAGGTCACGTGCCGCCCAGCCAATGGCTGTAGGTCACCTGCCGCCCAGCCAATGACTGTAGGTCACCTGCCGCCCAGCCAATGGCTGTAGGTCACGTGCCGCCCAGCCAATGGCTGTAGGTCACGTGCTGCCCAGCCAACGTCTGTAGGCCATGTGCCGGCCAGCCAATGGCAACGCTCCCCGACTTGACACGTGTGAACATAGAGCTTCAGGGGTCATCGGATTCCCACTCCTGTAGTCTGGTAGGATGGGGATGGTTGAGTGTTGTATATCTGCGTGTGTCTGGGGGATTCATTTAGGGGCCGTCAATAAATTACGTCACACACCTGGGGGGGGAGGGGGGTCAGACATTTGTGACGATGTGTGATGAGGGGGGGAGGGGGGGGTTTGAGAAATGTGACGTCACATCAAAATGCGCAACTTTAAATAAATATCAACAATAGAATTGTTCTAACAACACTAATTTTGATTTAAAGCTTTCGTGACTGCAGTAATTCATATTCTTAGCTCTTTCGGTAAAGTTACGTTGAAGGGAAACAATAAAATAATAAAATATGTATAAAACAATAAAAATTCTCACGACGTTTCGACCACAACACAAACGGTCATCATCAGGTGTCGAAACGTCGTGAGAATTATTGTTTTATATATATTTTATTATTTTATTATTTCCCTTCAACGTGACTTTACCGAAAGAGCTAAGAATATGAACACTAATTTTGATACATTTTCATTATTAACTATTTGATTATTTAAATTTACTCAGGTCACCTTTTATTTATTCCATGAAGGAACATTTTGCTTCTCCATGGAAGAATGGAGAACCATACATTTTGTATTTTTTTAAATGATTGTTGTTAAACATTTTTTTCTAATGATTCTACCAGGGATTTTCATTATGTGGAATGAATATATGATTGTTATAATTGTACTCTCGATTTAGCTTCGTTCTACTGCAAGGTTTCAAGTATTTTTCATAGTCATAATTACTTTTAATATTTTATAATGCGGTGGTCACTCTGTAAACTCACACACGCTACACAGTACCTACCAGAGCGGGGTCATTGACTAGGTGCCTCGGTGAATGTATATGCTCTGACTTTAACATAGCTATTTCTGTGACCAGTTACAAGCTAATCACTCAGCTATTTCAATGCTAAATTCTATGCTAATTCCTTTGTCAAGGCGCTTTGTTTCTTCTCACACAGCTTAAAGGTCGCGATCTGAGCGTGGCTTTTATCACTCCAGCGCTGTCCTCCAGACAGTCTCGTCCCTTCACCTGATGAAGGCCGCTTGTGTTGTGGCCGAAACGTCGTGATAATTTTATTGTGTTATTTTATTTTATCAATTTATTATTTTATTCTCATTCTACGTGGTGACTTTACCGAAAGAACCAAAGAAGATGAATCCTTGCAGTCACAAAAGCTTTAAATCGAAATAGATTTTCATCCTGATTTGTCTAAATATAGAATTCCGAATTCTGTTTTTTGCTAGGAATCGATTCCATCCCGCTCAAATAATTTTGTTGAGAGAGGGAATCGCGACTAAATGAATCGATAACTCATTAATGTTAAAGTTTCGATTCCGTCAACTGCCGTTACGAAATCAATTCCCGCCCACGACAGCCGAACCGTTCGGAAATCGATTTCGATCGCGCGCTGCAAAACTGCCGGATCGATCCTCTTCTCGCAGCAATCCGTAGGCCAAGGTATCGATTCCCTCGGTATGAATCCCTTGAATCGATTCGCCGCTTGTAATTTGTCATGGACCGCGGCTTCTGTTCGCGCGCGCAAGCGCCGCCGCCGCCGCCGCCTCCGCCGTTCCTCGGTTGCTTCTGTCTGCGAGGCCCCGGGCCCTCTTGAATTGTATCGCAACAACAACAGCAGCAGCAGCCACGCCGTAGGACAACAACAACAACAATGGAGGCGATGGATCGGCAGTCGGGCGAGCCGACGTCCAGCACGTGGCACGGCGCCCTCTGACGAGGTAAGAGGCCTCGCTGTACGCGCGTGTCCGGGGGCGACGTTTCGGCTCGAACCTCCCGCAGTCTCGAAACTGTGGACCGGTTTCGACGTTCAAGTGTCTCATCAGCGGCGGTGGTGGAGTCAGGCTGTACATGAACCATCGGTACCCACACGAGGGACACTGTGGACCGGCTTCGACGTTCAAGTGCCTCATCAGCAGCGTTGGTGGAGCCAGGCTTTGATTGAACCATCGGTACCCACACGAGTAACACTGTGGACCGGCTTCGACGTTCAAGTGTCTCATCAGCAGTGGAGCCAGGCTTTGATTGAACCATCGGTACCCACACGAGGGACACTGTGGACCTATTTTGACATTCAGTGCCAATTCATGTTTTTGACTGAATTTTTATAATTAATAATCACACATTTTAACCCCCCCCCCCACTTACCCCCCCCCCACTTACCCCCCCCCCACTTACCCCCCCCCCCCACTTACACCCCCCCCACTTACCCCCCCCCCCCCCCACTTACCCCCCCCCCCCACTTACCCCCCCCACTTACCCCCCCCCACTTACCCTCCCGCGTTTTTCAAATCTCTAACGGTCGCGCCCAGACCACGAGGGGAAAACGTCTCGTCCAATCAGAGCGGCGGCTGCCGCCGCTGTTGCTGGGACGCCTCTGACCAATGGGAGGCCGCCGCTTCGAGCCGCCGCTCGTCATGGCGCCGGAGCGGCCGCTGTTTTTCCCCCTCGTGGCGCGAGACCAACAATCACAACAGTAACGAGTGCTGCCATTGCAGTTGTTGTTAAAATAACTGGGCAGTTATCACCTCAACGAACGATATTATCGCTCGCTTCTGTGACCACGCCCGTTCTGACACGCCGAGGGCAACGTGGACCGTGCCGAGGTCAAGCGAACTGGCGGGAAAACGTGATCACTATTTTACGATTGAATGCCGCGATGCTGTCGCTATGCAAATTGCCTGAGGTAAATGATGATCGTTGGGATCAACGCTTGAGGTTAAAGTGTTAAATCTGCGCTATGTCGAGTACGGTGTCATGCAAATGCACTGGTGTACACACACGGGCACTGTCCCCGGAGCGTTACAGTCGATAAAGAGTCGTGGCGTCTTTAGTACGGTACACAACTTAACGATCGCTAACACGTCTCGTTCTAAGTGCCATTTCACGACTTTGCCGTCGGAGCCATCGTTAGTCTGATTGTAATAGTCACCGTGCGTGCTGTCAACCGTTCATTTCGCGGACTGCTGATGGTTTAACACGCAGGAGGCAGGCGCTATCGCGACCGACATCCGTAAGAGGATGTCGTTTTTGGGGTTAGATCGCGTAAATATATAAATGTGGCGTCTTTAAACCCGCCACCACCACCACCCGATACAGCCCAGTCAGTAAGGGGTTTGTCACGTAAACGGAACGTGCCCAATTCATTGCTAGTGCAGCCACACACCGCTTGTATGTTGGAGAGTAAACCCACCACGACATTTACAATTGTAGTGTAGTGTATAGTGTAGTATATAGTGTAGTGTATAGTGTAGCATATAGTAGTGTATAGTAGTATAGTGTATGGTAGTGTAGTGTATAGTAGTGTATAGTAGTGTAGTGTATAGTAGTGTAGGAAAAGTGTAGTGTAGTGTATAGTAGTGTATAGTGTAGTGTATAGTAGTGTAGTGTACATTATAGTTTACTAGTACAGCCACACACCGCGTGTGTATTGGAGAGTGAACCCACCGCAACATTTACAATCTGTCTCTTTATACCGACTGCGTGATGACTTTACCGAAAGAACCAAAAATCAACATTTACAATCTAACTGCTGTTTAACTCAGAAGCTTTCGCGACCAATATCATCGGTCGATTATGGATGACTACTGTTGTAGCAATGTGCACGTTTTTATTTATTGCATGGACGAGGGTTGTCGTCTCTACAGGGTCATTACAAAAATTAAGTAACAAAAATTGACCAAGGTTTTCAATGCACGCAATTTCATTTGCGCTCTAAAGTACAAAACCAATGATTTTGACCCCAGAATTCATCGCATTTCACGTGCCGAATGAAAGTGGGTTGATAAAGTATTAACGCTTTCGTGACTGCATAAAATTACCCATTGTTTTTTTTCCGGTAAAGTCACGTATGTAGAAATGCAATAAAATTATATCAAAACAAAAACAATCACGACGTTTCGATCACAACACAAGCGATCTTCATGAGGTGTCAAGAACAAATCATGGAGGTAAATGCAACAAAAAGATGAGAGACGAGAATTCAACAAACCTTGAAAAAACATGTGAAGCACATCCAGTCAGGCCAACAACACAGTTAGACACTTCCTGGCGGACCACGAATTTCAGAAGAGTGTTAAATTTCGTGTTCAACCTCTGGATTGCACATACCAGCATAGACAGAGTGAAAAAATACGAGGTTTGTTGAATTCTCGTCTCTCATCTTTTTGTTGTATTTACCTCCATGATTTGTTCTTGACACCTGATGAAGATCGCTTGTGCTGTGATCGAAACGTCGTGATTGTTTTTTGTTTTAATATCATTTATTGTATTTCTACATGCGTGACTTTACCGAAAAGACCAATGAGTAAAAGTGGGTTGCTTGCATAAAGAGACAAATTTTGCGAAAGGATGCCACCCACTTTTAATTGGCACATCCAATGCGATTAATTCTGGGGTCAAAATAATAGATGTTGTACCTTAGAGTGAAAATGAAAGTGTGTGTGCATTGAAAAACTTTTTTTTACCAACTATTTTTTTTACTTCTCACCTGAAGACGGACGCTTGTGTTGCGACCGAAACGTCGTATTTTATTTTGTTATTTTTTCTTCTACCTACGTGACTTTACCGAAAGAATCAGAGAGTATGGATTCCTGCAGTCACGAAAGCTTCAAATCAAGATTTTTTTTTATTTCTTTAAACCAAAGAGGCATTTTTCGTCAGGTTTTGTGTGTGTGTGTGTTTTTTTCCCACCTCCCCCCAAATGATCCGGAGTCCGCGCATTTCGATGCGAGTAGCCGAGGACGTTGGGTGAAATGGAGGTGACTTTTTGGTCCACTTGCAATGCCGCTTGACACCTTTGCTAAATTTTGGAGTTTTCGCGTCCCTCCCTCGCTCTCGGTCTCCGTGACCGCGAGGATTGTTCTCCGGGTCCTCCGGTTTTTTCCCCCTCCACATTTGGAATGACATCACCACGCGTGGAGTTTAAGAGTATTTTCACAGCTGCTGCTAACGTGATGATGATGATGATGATAAGCCGCTGCGTTGAGCTATCGTTTTTTGGCAGCCAGGCTGCTTCTAAAAAAAAATAGCTTTACAGCTCAGTGGGGCCGTACCTGGTAAAATAAATATAGTTTATAGTTTAGTTTTTCTGCTGTGTAGTTGACACTACCACTCCCCACACACACAGGGATCTTGAGGCATTATCGCTTCGGAGTGACATGCGAACTGGAGTGTGACATCGTCCTCGGAGATGGATTATTATTTGAAAAAGACGTTTGTTTTTTTTAGCTGGCACTTGCAATACTGGTTTAGTGGGGTGTGAGTTCTGTACGCACGCGCGCGAGTGAGTGATTTGTGGATTCACGTGGCGTACGCGCGTGTATTTGTGTGTGCCAGTATATCCCACTCACGCTTGCTTACACGTGTGTATGAATGTGTGTGGGTGGGTGTTTTCCAAGCGTGTATTTGTGCATAAATTGGTGGCTTGCGTGGTAACTGCAATTTCCCCCCAGGGTTCTGTGTAGGCTACGCGGGAGACATTTGGCTTGGTGTGTGACTCCGCAGGGATGAATGCCCTCCCAATGCGTCTCCTCCGCGGATGGCCCTCGCTCCTCGCCACGGCCGCCGTGCTCATCTGGATCACGGTGCGGGCACCGTCCCTCCGTCCGTGGCCGCGTGTCCGTCTGAGTGAGTGTGCGTCCGTGTGAGTGTGTCTGAGTATGTTCGTCCATGTGGTGTCCATCTGTGTGTGTGTGTCCGTCTGTGTGACCTCCTGCCAGCGGGCGTTCGACACTTCACGTGGCCTCAAGATGCACATGGCCTGGCACAAGCGTCGTGGTGACGTCACCGCCACTTAGTGGCGAATGGTGGTTGTTTTTGTTGTCCTTCACATCCTCCGGCAGGCGAGGCTGCGTTGGCTGGGTCATGTAGCCCGCATGCCCAGCCCCTACATGCCTAAACAGGTTTTGTTCGGCCGGATTGAGGGGGCTAAACGGGCGCGACACGGGCTAGAGAGGAGATGGAGTGATGTGGTACAGGAGGATGTGGAGCTGAGTGGACTTGCCGATGATCGGTACCAGCGGTGTCAAGATCGGCCTCTGTGGGGGAGGCTTGTGAAGGACGCTACTGGGCAGTTGGAGACAGTCGTCCTTCAGCAACAACGCGGGGCGGAGGAGCGACGCTCAGAACAACGAGCGGAGTGCCGGGCGGTTAAAACGCAGCAAGTTGGCACCATAGGGGGTACGGCAGGTGTGCATCTACCGGTCGTCTCAGTCAGCCAACCCATGGCACCTGCCAGGTCTGCCTCAAGACCTGCCGTCAGCGAGTCTTGACACTTCACGTGGCCTCAAAGTTCAGCGGTTGGCACGCTGCGCTACGAACCCGCCAGTGACCCGAGTTCGATTGCCACTCACACGGCCACCGCCCACCATTTGTGACGATTATCTGAACAGGTCGTGGGCCTACCCTAGGTCCACTCGGCCTCATGGCGAGTACCTGGTGCCACGTGTAAAAGATCCTCTCCCTTGTGGGGGGGGGGGAGATAAAGGTGGCTGGGCTGGCGTGGTGGTGCCGGCCACCCACCCATCCTCACGTGTGCCACAGTGCCGTCGCTTCACCGGCGCCGCCGCTGCCACTCCACGAACAGCACTTGCTCAGGCAGCCCGTGAGAGGCTACCTACACGGCGGGGGCGTGGGGCCTTTGTCTTTGCCTGCGTGCTTGCGTTTGCAGGTGCACTGGAAGCTTCCCGGACAGCCGGTGCTAGAGGAGGCCTGGCGCCGCGCGCAGCCTGGGACTCGCCTGGCGGGTCCCCCGACCCCGAGCCCCCAGGAGCGGGCCGAGGAGGAGGCCCTGTTGCGGGACCTACGCTGGCCCTCTCCGCCACGGTGGCCCGTGGCCTACGAGGTTTGGGATGCCGGGTTTCATCCCCCGCCTCTCCGCATTAAGAATCAACGTTTGTATTATTGAGATTGTTTGGCTGCCGCTATGCCTAAAAATAACTAAACAGATTTTTATTTTATTTGATCAGGTGTAAGGATGCTGGGTAGCTCTTTTTTCAGAAGTGACCTGGCTATCGCCAATGATAGCTCTACGAAGTGGCTCATCATCACCACGTGGACATTGCAGATGCATAGAGACCCATAGAGATACAGAGACCCATAGATCACACAAAAACTAAAGTTTTTAATATTTATTTTACCAGGTAACAGCCACCACAGAGCTGCTTTGTAGCTCTTTCTCAGAAACGACCTGGTTGTCGCAACTGAGAGTTTAACGAAAGTGCCTTATCATCATCATCACGTGGACATTTATAGTAGTAGCCAAATAAATATAAACGCGTGACGTTGAGAGACACCGCAGACTCCAAATAAATATACAGCAGCAGGCGTCATGGTTGGGATCGAACCCACGGCCTCCTCCATACCTGGCGAGGTAGTTAACATCTCCTAGCCACCGTGGGATCGAGCCCACGACCTCCTGTATACCTGGCGAGGTAGTTAACATCTAGCCACTGTAGGATCGAGCCCACGATCTCCTGTATACCTGGCGAGGTAGTTAACATCTCCTAGCCACCGTAGAATCGAGCCCACGACCTCCTGTATACCAGGCGAGGTAGTTAACATCTAGTCACGGTAGGATCGAGCCCACGATCTCCTGTATACCTGGCGAGGTAGTTAACATCTCCTAGCCACCGTAGAATTGAGCCCACGACCTCCTGTGTACCTGGCGAGGTAGTTAACATCTAGTCACGGTAGGATCGAGCCCACGATCTCCTGTATACCTGGCGAGGTAGTTAACATCTCCTAGCCACTGTAGAATCGAGCCCACGACCTCCTGTGTACCTGGCGAGGTAGTTAACATCTTCTAGTCACCGTAGAATCGAGCCCACGACCTCCTGTATACCTGGCGAGGTTAGTCAACATCTGGAATAAAGTGAATCCAGGTTGCCGACCTCTGCGCGAGGACTTCCCTGTGCTCGCTTTTCACTCCACCCAAACAACCGCATCACCCAGCTGCACAAACCGTGGCGGCGGCAGCAGCAGCAGTAGCAGCTGCGGATGATGCCTGATGATGCACAAATAGGAAATTAAAAACTCTCCGCTAGCGGTGGTGGGACGGTCGGTAAATCCGGAACGAGAGACCGCACAACAGCGCGAAACGACGCAACGCCCCAGTCCACAATCATGAAGAAGACATCGCAGCAGCGACGATGACGACGACGATGATGATGGTGATGATGATGATTCACTACTCCGCTACTGCTCCTGCTGACTCGGTTATCTGGGCTTGACCACCTGGATGTGATGACCTTGTCGTTGCTGCTGCTCTGCATCCAACATCAGTCATACAAAAGAAGAAGAACACTGCCCATAGACTAACACTGCCCATAGACTAACACTGCCCATAGACTAACATTGCCCATAGACTAACATTGTTCATAGATTATCATTGTTCATAGACTAGCACTGCCCATAGACTAACATTGCCCATAGACTAACATTGCCCATAGACTAACATTGCCCATAGACTAACATTGCCCATAGACTAACATTGCCCATGGAACATTACAAACTCTCCAGTAGTGATGCTGCCACTGTGGTCATCCAGAACAGAGACCGAAGTCCAACTTCTAACGATGCAACGCCCCCATCCACAAATACGAAGATGGAGACATCACAGCGATGATGATGATGATGGTGACGGTGATACACTGACTACTCCGCTACTGCCCCTGCTCATGTGGTTGTTGTCTGGGCTTGACCAGCTGAATGCGTCTTACTACATCATCAGCAGCCGTACAACAGAAGCAGAAGAAGAAGAAGCTGTTTACTCGGTTTGGGAAAAGCAAGATCGCCCCCTGCTGGCAGGCTCATGCCCAGTTCTCATCAGAGGGAAAAGAACTGGAGGATCTGGAGAAAAATCCACGCGACCATGGAGAGAGACACGCAGACTCCAAATATACATCAGCATGCATCGTCAAGGTCGTGATTGAACCCACGACCTCCTGTATACCAGGCGAGGTAGTTAAAATTTCCTAGCCACCGTGATGATGAGAGAGAGACGCAAACTACAAATATACAGCAGGCATCATCAAGGTCGGTTTCGAACCCACGGCTTCCTGTATACCAGTCGAGGTAGTTGACATCTCATAGCCACCGTGATGATGATGAGAGAGAGAGATACGCAAACTACAAATATACAGCAGATATCATCAAGGTCGTGATCGAACCCATGACTTCCTGTATACCAGGCGAGGTAGTCAACATTTCCTAGCCACCGTGATGATGAGAGAGAGAGAGAGAGACACGCAAACTACAAATATACGGGAGCAGGCATCTTCAGGGTCGCGATCGAACCCATGACCTCCTGCATACCAGGCGAGGTAGTTAACATCTCTGAGCCACCGTGGAGGGAAACCACAGAGACAAACCGATGCATGCAAAGGGGGTGGGGGGGGGTAACATTCAAATCCCCAGTGATTGCCCAAGCTCTGTGGTTGTATAATGTGGCGTAAGGCACCCTGGGGATTTTTTACATATGTATTGACACATCGCAGAACGGTCGCCGACCTGGTAGTCAAAATACGTTTGGATGGTGGCAAACATGCAAACGTATAAGCAAATGTATATATGTTTTATTTTGACCTGGGTTTATCCACGGTGGGTGGCTGCGTGGGTGGTTGAGAATGTGGGTGGTTGTTTGGTGGGTGTGTGGGTGGGTTCTTGAGTGAGTGGGTGAATGGATAAGTGAGTTGTGGGTGCGTGTGTGGGTGAGTGGGTCGTTGTTTGGTGGGTGTGTGGGTCAGTGTGTGAGTGGGTGGTTGAATGAGTGGGTTTGTGAGTGAATGAGTGGCTTAGTGAGTGAGTGGGTGTATGTGATTCCTGGGTTTCTCAACAGTGGAGTATCTAACAGCAACATAACTTCACCCCAGAGTTTCACTCAGATCAGATAAACTCTGCAAGAGTTATCATAACCCAATATTACTCTGTGTGTGAGAGGGTGAGCGTATAGGTGAGTGTGTGAGTGGGCAAGTGGATAAGTGAGTGGCTGGGTGAGTGGCAAGTTAGTGGGTGGATGTGTGAGCATGTAGTTGAGTATGTAAGTGGGCGAGTGCATGAATGAGTAGGTGGGTGAGTGGATAAGTGAGTGGCTGGGTGAGTGCATGAGTGAGTGGGTGCGTGAGTGAGTGTGGGGAGCGGTGGTGTAGCGGTTAGCGTGCTGCGCTATGAACCCGGCGACCCGGTTTCGATTCCCGCAAACACCCAGTGACGATTATCTGAACCGGTCCTGGGCCTCCCCTAGTTCGACTCAGCCTTAAATGAGTACCTGGTGCGGTGTGTAAACATCGCCACTGAGGAGACAAAGGCGGTCGGGCGTGGTGCTGGCCACCCACCACCTCGTGTACCGTTCCGGCCTTCATAGGTGCTCGATAACAGCGCTCGCCCCTACAGTCTGTTAAGGCTACACGGGGGATCTTTGTCTTTTTGTATAGGTGAGTGTAAGTGTGTGGGTGGGTAGATGGGTGAGTTGGTGAGTGAATGTGTGGGTGAGTGGGTGCGAGAGTGGGTGTGTAGGTGAGTGTGTAAGTGGCCGAGTGCATGAGTGAGGGGTGCGACTGGGTGGGTGAGTGGGTGAGTTTGTAAATGGGTAAGGTGAGTGAGTGGGTGCGTGAGTGAGTGTGTCAGTGGGCGAGTGCATGAATGAGTGAGTGGGTGAGTTTGTAAGTGGGTGGGTGAGTGGATATGTGGGTGAGTGAGTGAGTGGGTGAAAGTGTGGACCAGAGCGTCACTTAAAGAAGAAGAAGAGGAGGAGGGGATCTCGGAGGTAGCTCCGTGATGTCCGCTTCCTTGCTTCGCGACGCCGATAGCGGTGCAAGCGGGACGAAGTTACTTTTCAATGTTTATTTTAGTTTTAAACGACTGCAGATTTCGAGTCGATGTTTGTTGTGAGTTGGTTAAGAAGAAAAAACAACTCACACGAGATTGGGGGTGGTGAGGGGGGGGCGGTAGAGGGAGTTCGACCCTCCACCGTCCAACGCGTCACCGAATGGACGACAGAAAGCGATGATGATGACCGCCTCCACGTTCCATACAGCAGGGGCTGTCTGGTAGTGCAGGAAGACGGGAGGAGAGCCAAGGGAGAGACGATCCGTGGGGATGAATGCGGGAAGAGAAGTTCCGCTGCACAATACCCAACCAGACCCCCCCCCCCCGCCCCTCCCTTCCCCCCCCCCTCCCCCCCCCTCCCCCCCTCCCCCCCCCCCCCCCCCCTCCCAGGCCACCACGTCCGCAGCGCGCAGCTGGGTGGAGGTGACGGCCCAGGCGGGGCGGCTGGCGGTGGGCGGTACGCTGGAGGTGACGGTGCGGGCACACGACCACCTCGGCCGCCCTAAGAGCTATGGCGGAGACTTCCTAGAGGTGGGTGCAGCCACCACGCAGGCCCTCCTCCCCCCCCCCTCCCCCCCCCCCTCCTCCCCCCCCCCCCCCCTCCCCGTGACGTCTCCCGCCGAGGTGACGATGCGACGGGACGCCAAGCCGCTCATCCGGAAGCAGCAGATTCCATGGGAGCCACGGTAACGGCGGGGCTTGAGAGTCGCTGTTGGGGTCTCTCCAGGCGCGCTCTGCCGACAGCCCGGCTGCCATGGTTACCTGCGGCGGCCGAGCCGGCGCCGTCATACCACCGCGTTCGCCGACGTGCGAGGAAGCCGTCCCCTCCCCCTCCTCCGCCTCTGTCTTCGTCGTCGTCGCTATCGTCGCCATCGTCGTCGTCATCATCGTCGTTGTCGTCGTTTTCCATCTCCGTGATGCTGGGCGGGATCCCGAACGGTTCCCCGGAGCCGCTGGGACGTGGCGCGGTGTCGCCGGGGAAGTCGCGGGGTGACGGTGACCGCGGTGGTGACGGTGACCACGGTGGAGCTGACCACGGAGCTCGGCACACGCCCCCCCGCCGAGCCATCTACGGGAGACATCGCGCCCGGGAGCACGTCGTCGCCTCCTCCTCCTCCTCCTCCCCCCGCTGCTCGTTGTTGGTAGTGGGATGGCGGTGGCTCCCGGCGGGAGTCGGTGAGCATGGCATGACCAATTCCCCCGTGGGCTAGCGCGGAGCGCACGGCGCCCACCGTGGCCCATTGCTCCAGGACGGCACCAGGTATCCCCGTTGAGCCGGGCGTGGCGGAACTCCAGCCACACCCTGGTGGAGAGCCGGGCCCTGAAGATGCCAGCGGAGGTTCGGTGAGCGGCTCGCGTCCACCGCCGCCTTTCCTGCCCTGTCAATTGCCGGCTTGGCATAGCTCATCAGAGCGTTCAGAAGTCCGTCCCTCCGTTTGTCTTCCCTCTGCCTCCCCCTTCGGCCGCAGGCGAGCATTGTGGGGGAGCGGCGCAGGTTGAATTTCAGCAGGACGCTTCCGCAGGAGCTTGAAAAGTGAGTCCAGCGCCTTGCACTGGGTGTACGGGTACCTCGAGCATTTCCACCTGCTCGCCGCAGAGAGCGCACCGAGGTTCTGTGTCCGTGACCCTGGCCAGGAACGCGCTGGCGGTGATGTTGCCGTGGGCCAGGCACCAACCGAGGTCCACGTGACTCCTGTCGGACGGCTTGGAGTAGAAGGCCCTCCACAGAGGCTTCTCTTGGGCCTCACAGGGCAAGGGGGGTCTCCCTCCAGGCGTGGTCCTTGATGGCGGAACTGCACCGTGAATTAGTCGCAGGTTTCTCCCCGCTCGTGCCTGTCGAAGGTCCCCCGCTGGCGGTTCGAGCAATGCTCTGCATCCAACGAGGTTGGGCGATGGCTCTCCGGCACGTCGGAGACGTACGGAGGCCCGGGAAGGGGCTCCGCTTCGGGGGTGTACAGTTGCCCCGACATGGGATGAGACAACCCTGTCAAACACCCCTCCTGAAGCTGACGGGAGCAGTGACGGTGCCGTTAACCTGGATCGGGCATTGGGCTTCAGTGCAGAGCGGGTGGATCAGTCCCAGGACACCGATCTCAAATTCCGAAAGCACTTAGTGTTCCCATCATGCACCTGTGGTCGATCCTGTCGAACGCGTTCTCCTGGTCGAGAGAGAGGAGCGGGAGCCCCTTCCTCTCGGAGAGGGTGATGAGGCCTCTGACGAGGAAGACGCCATCGTGACTTGTTCTCCCCGGTGCCCGTTTAGGCCTGGTCACTGCCACCATTCGAGCCAGCGCCGTCTTCAGCTTTGGGGACGGCGCTTTGGCCAGAATTTTGTAGTCGGTGTGGAGCACTGACACCGGTCACCAGTCCTTCCAGGCGCCTCAGGTCGTCCTTCTTAGGGAACAGGGCGATCACCGCCCTTCTCTACGACTGAGGCATGGTCCCCGCACGCACGGCCTTCCCCAGAAACTGCTGCGCAGTCCTCGCAGAGCGTTGGAAAAAAGGAGGTAGAATTCTCCTGTGAGGCCGTCAATCGCCGGACACTTGTTTTTGCCCAGTGCCTTCACCGCTGTGCCCAGATCGCTCGGCGTGAATCTTTTTCCAGCAGCCCCTTTGCCTCGTCCCCCTTAGTGGGTCGGTCTCTACAGATCGCCTCTTGGGCAGGCATAGACGTTTCATCGGGAGAGAAGAGGTCACTATAAAATCGCCCGGATTATTGATATCATGTCCTCACTCTGTGTTTTAAGAGTGCTTCCGTTGTTGAAGACGCACTCCATGGTCTTCTGCCTGCCCTGTTGCCTCCCCAAGGAGAGTCGAAGGGGGATGAACGGGAGTGCCGGTCGAGGTGTTGCTTGACCCTGGAACGTATGAACGCTCCCTTGGTTCTCTCCACTTGCAACCCCTTGGGATGCTCCTCCTTCTCGACGTACTCCTGTAGGAGGGCCGGGCTGTCTCTCTCGTTGAGCCACCCCTCTAGTTCAAGGACCTGCACCTCCATGTCGGTGATGTAACCGTTTCTTTGGTGCGTGCCGCCCCAGGCGTAAGTCTGGCAGAGTCCCTTTATTTACTTATTTATTCGCACCTCACCCACGTCCCAACGCTGGGCCAGGCTGTCAAACAAGTCCTTCTGCTGTCGCCGCTGCTCCCAGCACTCCCTAAAGAGCTCGGTGAAGTTTCTGTCCACCAGCAGGGCGCTGAAGTGTCGGTAGGTCGCACCACTTGGTGTTTCCCCCGCTGCCTACGCTCCAGCGGGATCAGGCTGTGGTCTGTTAGTGGTGCAGCCCTGATGTTAGCGGTCCCGACTCTCGAGACGAGACTTCTGGAGACATAGAAGCGGTCGATCCTGGACCGGGTGGCTGGTTCACTGCACCCGTGTCCGCGTGCAGGCGAAGCTTCGCTGCCCAGGGCGGTGAAGCCGCCACGCCGCCACCAGATTGGAGGCGTCCAGAAGGTCTCGGAGCTCCTCCCTGGAGCGTGGTGTTGCAGTGCTCCTTCCCCGTGTGGTCCAGGGCACCCGGCGTGCAGTCGTAGTCACCTCCCATGACCGCACACTCGTCGCCTGGCAGGCCACTGGGATGGTTCCGTTAGAAGTGGCAGGGCAGGAACCCGGGTCCCTCACCGTCGGCGGTGCACGTTCACGAGGTGGGTGGTGGTGTCGCCGGGCTGCGCCGTGACGTCAAGGACCCTCCCCTTGACCACTTCCGCCTGCCTGACGGTGTCCGGGGTGAAGTTCGGTGACCGCACGGTGGCTGAAGAAAGGTCTCCCCTCTTCACTCCAGCCTTGAGGCAGCCTCGTTGGTGTGCGGTGCTTTTTTCAGGAATATTTTTTGCTGGTTTTTTTTTTTTTCCCGCGGATTTTCTGTTTGCACAGTCACACAAAGTCACTTTAAGATGTTTTTCTTGTTCGTGTTTTTAGTTTTTTTTGTTTGTTGCGGTTGCACCCGATTCAAGAGCCGAATGGCTCACAGGGCTATACCAAAATAAACGGAACTGAACTTATTGCCCGTGGTGAGATGAGTCTCCAGCACGAAACAGCACGGAGACCTAAAGCTGCTTAGCAAGGGACGCTGCATCGTATCTCCTCAGCGCCCCTCTGCACCCATTCATGTCGAGGGAGGCGATGCTCGGCGTCAACGTGGTTGAGCGTTCGCCTGTTCCAGTCAGTCGCCTTACTAAGGAGGCTCCTTCCGTCCCGCTGGAGCTCCGCGAGGATGTGTCGGGAGGGAGGCCTCCATGGCGTCTGCGTATCGCCATCTTGACGAGGCCTCCGTCGCCTTGTTTGGTTTCCCCGTGGGTTTCTTAAAATAATCTCCACCAGGTCTTCCTGGCAGGAGGTGCGTGCTCGTGAAGGTGACCTCATTGAGACCTGGCCAGCCTCACCACCCACACCGAGGTCATCATCCGAGTCACCCTTCTGGCTTCCGTGCCCTGCACGTTGGGGCCCAAGAGTCGGAGCCCACGGTTGTCTCCTTGTGCCCCTCCCCCTGGGTCCGTGCCAGGTGGAATGGCACCGCACGCCTCTCCCATAGTAGCAGGGCACTCTGCGAGGCTTACCAGAGTGCCCTGCTGCACACGCCTTGAGAGGAAGGAAGCAGCCTCTGCAGACACGGCGTCGGCATCCCAGGCCGCTCCTCCAGGAGGTGCCCAGGAGACATCACCCACACCCCCAAGGCTTCCCTCCTTCTCAGGCGTCTTCTCCTGCCTCTGCCGCTTCTCCCCCGCCGCCCCCCCAGCATGCTGCTGATGGAGGTGACTGCGGCGGCGGGCAGCTCCTGCACGCCACCACAACCATCCAGCCCCGCCACCCAGATGGTTCCGTTGGCTCCGGGAGATCCTGAAGCTCATCCTCCTCGGCGCTCCCCCTTCCGATCTGGAGGCCTGAGAGAAGGAGGCGTCCCGATCCCCCTTCCGATCTGGAGGCCTGAGAGAAGGAGGCGTCCCGATCCCCCTTCCGATCTGGAGGCCTGAGAGAAGGAGGCGTCCCGATATTTTCTCTTTGAGGCATCCCGGCAGCGCGAAATGCTCCGTGGGGGGGAGGGGGGGGGCTACCCCTCTTCTCCGGTAGCAGGAGTCAAGCTGGACCCTGGTTCCTCATCATCCGGTAGACTTGGAGCCGCAGCGGTCTGCTCCTCCTCCACCCGCTGAGTCTAGGCGGGCGCCGCTCTCTCCCCCCCAGGTGGCCGCGGGTGCCGGCGTCGACGGGCGACGCATTGGGGAGCTCCGCTCCTTTGAAGCGGCTCTCGGGCCCTGCAGAGGCGGCACCTGATTCCGCGGGAGTCCCCCCCCCCCCCTCCCTCGTGTGCCACCGCAAACGAAACGCTTTCCTCCGGTTGCCCCGGCTTGAGCAGCACGTGCACCGGCCGCCTGGAGGGACGGCAGCGTCGTGCTGCAGTGCCGGGCCCCTGCAAACCCAGCGGCGCCGGGCGAGGCTGACGGCGGCCCCCAGCTCCGGCCACGCGCTGCCGGACGTCCCCCGTCCGGGCTGTGGGGGCGGCACGTCGGAGAGCGGTCGCCCGACGTCAGCCCCTTGGCCACGGCCGCGCAGGCTACTCTCTCCGACTCCCGAGGAGGGTCACGGGCCTGCCGGTCATCTTGGAGGCGAACCTCGATGGCCTCCACGTAGGCGTCGATGGGGACGTCGGCGGAGGCCTGGCAGCGCACGCCGCAGCGGCGAGATGGCCGCCGCCGCCGCTTCCTGGCGACCCCGGGCCGGTTGCTGCCGATGGCGACGTTGTTGAGTGAGGCGGTGGCCTGGGCGGGGCCCGTGGCCCCATCGCGACCAGCGGTGGCCGCTTGGGCATCCTCACCCACTCCAGCCACTCTCATTGACCTGCATTTAAGTCGCCTTTTACAGTGGAGGAGGGGGTGAGAGTTTATTGCCTCCTCCTCCTCCCCCCTCCCTGTGTCTCTCCCCGTGTCTCTCCCCGTGTCTCCGCCAGTGTGTCCCTCTTCCTGCCCGTGTCTCCCCGTGTCCCAGGCCCATCTGCTCTCTCTGTAGCCCCACGTGTCCCCGTGCGTGTCTTCCTTCGCACGTGTCCCCATGTCTCCCCCAGTGTCTCCCCCCGTGTCTCCCCCCGCGTCTCCCCCCGCGTCTCCCCCCGCGTCTCCCCCGCGTCTCCCCGTGTTTCCCCGCGCGTCTCCCTGCGCGTCTCCCCCGCGTCTCCCCCCGTGTCTCCCCCCGTGTCTCCCCCGCGTCTCCCCCCGTGTCTCCCCGCGCGTCTTCCTGCACGTCTTCCTGTGCGTGCCTTCACATCTCCCCCCGTCCCCCGTGTCTGCCTACGTGTCTCCTCGCGTCTCCCCGTGTCTCCCCCCGCATCTCCCCCCGCGTCTCCCCCCGCGTGTCTCCCCGTGTTTGCCTACGTGTTTCCCCGCGCGTCTCCCCGCGCGTGTGTCCACTTCTCCCCACGTGTCTCCACGTGTCCCCGCGTCTCCCCGCATGTCCCCACATTTCCCCCCGTGTCTCCCCACATCTCCCCACGTGTCCCCCCGTGTCTCCCCACGTCTCCCCGCGTGTCTCCACATCTCCCCACGTGTCCCCCCGTGTCTCCCCACGTCTCCCCCCGTGTCTCCCCACATCTCCCCACGTGTCCCCGTGTCTCCCCACGTCTCCCCGCGTGTCTCCACGCGTCCCCCCCAGGCCCGTCTGCTCTCGGTCCCCGTAGGCCGTGCGGCCGTCCCCGCCGTGCGGTACTGGGACCGAGGGGACGGCACCTACGGCGTGGCCTTCCCCCTGCCGTGGGCCGGCGTCGCCACCGTGGCCGTGAGCCTCGTGCACCCCGCGGAGGCCGTGCACCTGCTGGCGCGCCTGCGGGAGGAGCGGCCCGACAAGGTCTACTTCAGGTCGAGTGCGGAGCGACGACGATGACTGAGATGACTGAGATGACGTTGATGATGATGATGATGACGACGACGATGATGACGACGATGATGATGACGATGACGGCGGCGGTGGTGATGGTGATGACCATGGTGATGACTGATGACGTTGATGATGATGATGACGATGACGGCGGTGGTGGTGATGGTGATGACCATGATGATGACTGTGATGACGATGATGATGATGATGACGACGATGATGATGACGATGACGGCGGCGGTGGTGATGGTGATGACCATGGTGATGACTGATGACGTTGATGATGATGATGACGGCGGTGGTGATGATGGTGATGACGACGATGATGATGACAACGATGACGACGATGACAGTGATTACCATGATGACGACGACAATGGTGACGATGATGATGACGACGATGATGACGACGATGATGATGACGACGACAATGGTGATGGTAATGACGACGATGACAACGATGATGATGGAAATGACGGTAGTGATGTTGGTGATGGTGGTGGTGATGATAATGATGGTGGCGACGATGACAACGGTAGTAGTGGTGGTGATGGTGGTGGTGGTGACAGTGTTGGTTGTGATGGGTGGTGGTGGTGATGATTCAGGTGGTGGTGATGACAGTGTTGGTTGTGATGGTGGTGGTGATGATGGTGATGATGGTGACGGTGATGACAGTGTTGGTTGTGATGGTGGTGGTGGTGATGATGATGGTGGTGTTGATGATTCAGGTGGTGGTGATGACGTGTTGGTTGTGATGATGGTGGTGGTGGTGATGATGGTGATGATGGTGATGGCAGTGTTGGTTGTGATGGTGGTGGTAATGATGGTGATGATGGTGATGACCCTGTTGGTTGTGATGGTGGTGATGATGGTGGTGATGATTCAGGTGGTGTGATGACAGTGTTGGTTGTGATGATGGTGGTGGTGGTGATGATGGTGATGATGGTGATGACAGTGTTGGTTGTGGTGGTGGTGGTGATGATGATGGTGGTGATGATTCAGGTGGTGGTGATGACAGTGTTGGTTGTGATGGTGATGGTGATGACAGTGATGGTGGTGATGGTGGTGATGATGATGGTGGTGTTGATGATTGAGGTGGTGGCGATGACAGTGTTGGTTGTGATGATGGTGGTGGTGGTGATGATGGTGATGACAGTGTTGGTTGTAATGATGGTGGTGGTGGTGATGATGATGATGATGGTGGTGATGATTGAGGTGGTGGCGATGACAGTGTTGGTTGTGATGATGGTGGTGGTGGTGATGATGGTGATGACAGTGTTGGTTGTGATGATGGTGGTGGTGGTGATGATGGTGGTGGTGGTGATGATGATGGTGGTGATGATTGAGGTGTTGGTGATGACAGTGTTGGTTGTGATGGTGGTGGTGTTGGTGATGATGGTGGTGGTGGCGGTGACAACGACCCTGCCTGGACCTATTGGTCAACCTTGTAGTGCAGATGAATGGGTGTGGGGGTGAGTGTGGGGGTGAGTGTGGGGGTGAGTGTGGGGGTGAGTGTGGGGGTGAGTGTGGGGGTGAGTGTGGGGGTGAGTGTGGGGGTGAGTGTGGGGGTGAGTGTGGGGGTGAGTGTGGGGGTGAGTGTGGGGGTGAGTGTGGGGGTGAATGTGGGGGTGAGCGAGCGAGTGAATGGGTGAGTGTGGGGGTGAGCGAGCGAGTGAATGGGTGAGTGTGGGGGTGAGTGAGCGAGTGAATGGGTGAGTGTGGGGGTGAGCGAGCGAGTGAATGGGTGAGTGTGTGGGTGAGCGAGCGAGTGAATGGGTGAGTGTGGGGGTGAGCGAGCGAGTGAATGGGTGAGTGTGGGGGTGAGCGAGCGAGTGAATGGGTGAGTGTGGGGGTGAGCGAGCGAGTGAATGGGTGAGTGTGGGGGTGAGCGAGCGAGTGAATGGGTGAGTGTGGGGGTGAGCGAGCGAGTGAATGGGTGAGTGTGGGGGTGAGCGAGCGAGTGAATGGGTGAGTGTGGGGATGAGCGAGCGAGTGAATGGGTGAGTGTGGGGGTGAGCGAGCTAGTGAATGGGTGAGTGTGAGGGTGAGCGAGCGAGTGAATGGGTGAGTGTGAGTGTGAGCGAGCGAGTGAATGGGTGAGTGTGAGTGTGAGCGAGCGAGTGAATGGGTGAGTGTGGGGGTGAGCGAGCGAGTGAATGGGTGAGTGTGAGCGAGCGAGTGAATGGGTGAGTGTGAGTGTGAGCGAGCGAGTGAATGGGTGAGTGTGGTGGTGAGCGAACGAATGAATGGGTGAGTGTGAGCGAGCGAGTGAATGGGTGAGTGCGGGGGTGAGCAAGCGAATTAATGGGTGAGTGCGGGGGTGAGCGAGTGATTGAATGGGTGAGTGTGGGGGTGAGCGAGCGAGTGAATGGGTGAGTGTGGGGTTGAGCGAGCGAGTGAATGGGTGAGTGTGGGGTTGAGCGAGCGAGTGAATGGGTGAGTGTGAGTGTGAGCGAGCGAGTGAATGGGTGAATGTAGTGGTGAGCGAGCAAATTAATGGGTGAGTGTGAGCGAGCGAGTGAAGGGGTGAGTGTGGTGGTGAGCGAGCGAATGAATGGGTGAGTGTGAGTGTGAGCGAGCGAATGGGTGAGTGTGAGTGTGAGCGAGCGAATGGGTGAGTGTGAGTGTGAGCGAGCGAATGGGTGAGTGTGAGTGTGAGCGAGCGAATGGGTGAGTGTGAGTGTGAGCGAGCGAATGAATGGGTGTGAGTGTGGTGGTGAGCGAATGAATGGGTGAGTGTGAGTGTGAGCGAGCGAATGAATGGGTGAGTGCGGTGGTGAGCGAGCGAACAAATGGGCGAGTGCGGTGGTGAGCGAGCGAACAAATGGGCGAGTGCGGGGCTGAGCGAGCGAGCGGGCGAAAGCAACAATGAGTCCAACAATAATAACAACAATGGGCAACGTAACATTTCCGATCATCATAACAATTGTTACCGTCGTCCCTTCTCCCGGCAGGAGTCTCTTCCGGCTGGGCAGCCTGTCGGAAACCACCGAGTGCAACGTCCTCCCGGAATACCTCTCGTCCCCGTCGCCGTCCCCGTCGCCGTCCCCGTCACGGTGGTGGTGGTGGTGGTGGCCGTCACGGCGGTGGCCGCGGTGGCCGTCACGGCGGCGGCGGTGGCCGCGCCGGGCCCCCGGGGGCCGGGCGCTCTGCGACTTGTCTGGGCGGAGCGAGCCGAGCGAGCGCTGGGTGTGTGTGCGTCCCCGGGCCCCCGAGCTGCCCTGCTCCTCGCGCCGGGACCACTCGAAGGGGGGCTACCACGACGGCCTGCTCACGCCGGGGGACGAGCGGCTGCTCCAGACGTGAGTGGGCGCGGCGGTGGGCGGGTGGGTTGGTGGGGGAGGGTGGGTTGGTGGGTTGGTGGGTTGGTGGGTGGGTTGGTGAGTGAGTGTGGGTTGGTGGGTGAGGGTGGGTTGGTGGGTGAGGGTGGGTGGGTGTGGGTGGGTTGGTGGGTGAGGGTGGGTTGGTGGGTGAGGGTGGGTGGGTGTGGGTGGGTTGGTGGGTGAGGGTGGGTTGGTGGGTGAGGGTGGGTGGGTGGGTTGGGTGGGTGGGTGGGTGTGGGTGGGTTGGTGTGTGAGTGTGAGTGGGTTGGTGGGTGAGTGTGGGTGGGTGGGTTGTTGGGTTGTTGGGTTGGTGGGTGAGGGTGGGTGGGTTGGTGGGTGGGTGGGTTGGTGTGTGAGTGTGGGTGGGTTGGTGTGTGATTGTGGGTGGGTGGGTTGGTGGGTGAGTGTGGGTGGGTGGGTGAGTGTGGGTGGGTGGGTTGGTGGGTTGGTGGGTGGGTGGGTTGGTGGGTGGGTGGGTTGGTGGGTGGGTGGATTGGTGGGTGAGTGTGGGTGGGTGGGTTGGTGGGTGTGTCGGTGCGTTGTGGGTTGGTTGGTCGGTGTTGTTGGTGGGTGACTGGATGTTTGGGTTCGTTGGTGGGTGGGTGAGTGTGGGTGGGTGAGTGTGGGTGGGTAGGTGAGTGTGGGTGGGTGGGTGAGTGTGGGTGGGTAGGTGAGTGTGGGTGGGTTGCTGAGGGGGTGGGTTTCTGAGCGAGTGTGTGGGTAGGTGGTTTGCTGGGTGGGTGTATCAGTGAGTTGGTGGGTTGGTTGGTGAGTGTGTGGGTGGGTGGCTGGGTGGGTTGGTGGGTTGGTTGACAGGTGGGTTGGTGAGTGAGTGGATAGGTAGGTGGGCGGGTGGGTGAGTGGTTGGGCGGACAGGTTAGTTGAGTGAGTGGTACGCAGTCTCTGGCTCACCAGATAATAATAATGTAATAATGGCTGTGGTTGGGGGGCTGAATCCCCCAGACCGGAGTCAATCATCCCTGTCGTGCCGTACCCAGGCCACCTTGAGCTCAGGCGAGATGTTAACTACCTTGCCTGGTCTACGGGAGGTCGTGGGTTCGATCCCGACCCTTGGCGCCTGTTGCGTATTTGAAGTTTGCGTCTTTCTATCTCTCTCCCACCGGTCCTCCGGGGTTTTCCCTTCCACATTTAGAATCAATATCATGCGTTTTAGAGTAATTTGGTTGAATATTTCCACTTGACGATGACGACGATGACGACGATGAGCCACTTCGTTGAGCTATCATTTGTGGCCGCCAGGTCGCTCGGGAAAAAAGAGCGACACAAGCTCAGTAGGGGGTGGGGGGTGGGGACTTACGTGATAACAGTAACAAATTGTTTAGTTTGTGGTGTGAGTGTGTGTGCGCGTTGAGCTTTTATTCCACACCGTACGTAGCCAACCGTGCTAACCGTTGCGAGATCTCAATAACAAAAGAGTTGAGCGGACGACAACGGCTGTGTGTCCACCTTCACATCTGTTTACCTGGAACACGAAAAAACTAGTCTACAGTCTAAATACTTTGACAGTCCCTTGACAGAGGGGGGCTGCGTTGAGTACCGTCTCTTGGCTGATGGCGAACTCGCCGCGTTTTGGCAAAACACAGAGAGGCCACCTTGACAACCGATAAAGACAAAGATCCCCCGTGTAGCCCTTCAGTGAATGGGTGAGCGAGTGAATGAGTGAATGGGTGAGCGATTGAGTGAGTGAATGAGTGAGCAATTGAGTGAATGAGTGGATGAGTGAGTGAATGGGTGAGCAATTGAGTGAGTGAGTGAATGAGTGAGCGATTGAGTGAATGAGTGGATGAGTGAGTGAGTGAATGGGTGAGCGATTGAGTGAGTGAATGAGTGAGCGATTGAGTGAATGAGTGGGTGAGTGAGTGAATGGGTGAGCGATTAAGTGAATGAGCAATTGAGTGAGCGAGTTTGAGGATTGACGCTCATCTCTCTGTCGTAATCTTTGTGATCACTCAACGAGAAACACGCACACATACGCACACACACACGCACACACACGCGCACACGTACGCACACACACACAACAACAACAACAACTGCCATTCACCACTAAGTGGCGGTGACGTCACCACGACGCTTGTGCCAGGCTATGTGCACCCTGAGGCCACGTGAAGTCTCGAACGCCCGCTGGCAGGAGGTCACGGGGCAGACCCAGGTGCCACGGGTCGACTGACTGAGATGACTGGCTGATGCACCACCTGTGCCCCCTACTGTGCCAACCCGCTGTGCTTCAGCCACCCGGCACTCCGCTCGTTGTTGTGAGCATCGCTCCTCCGCCCTCCATTGTTGTTGGAGGGCGACTGCCTCCAACTGCCCAGTAGCAGCGTCCTTCACGAGCCTCCTCCACAGAGGCCGATCACCAACAGCATAGATAAATGACTGGTACCGCTGGTACCAGTCATCGGCAAGTCCACTCGGCTCCACGTCCTCCTGTACCACATCACTCCATCTCTTCTCTAGCCCGTGCCGCACCCGTTTAGCCCCCTCAATCCGGCCGAACAAAAGCTGTTTCGGCATGCGGTGGCTGGGCATGCGTGCTACATGACCCAGCCAACGCACACATACACGCACGCGCGCGCACGTATGCACGCACAAACACACGTGTGCATAATGTATTTAAATGAGCGTTTATTTAAATTAGCCTCATTTGCTATTCACAAAACCTAAGGCCTACACCCGGGCACTTTTGCACATTTGACTTTTGTGTAAATGTGCAGAAGGATTCAGTTTTTTTTTTAAGACTCACGTGTTATTTGTGCGTGTCGCAATAAGTTCAGGAGCTTAATGCCAATGTTGAGTTCCCCTGATGGTCTTCCATGGTCTCTGTGGGTCTCCGTGTATCTCTATGGGTATCTCAATATCTCTCTGTGGATTTGCATATTGCTGTGGGTCTCTGTGTATATCTATGGGTATCTCAATATCTCTCTGTGCATTTGCATATTGCTGTGGGTCTCTGCGTATCTCTATGGGTATCTCAATATCTCTCTGTGCATATGCATATTGCCATGGGTCTCTGTGTACCACTGGATCTCTGTATATCTCTATTGGTCTAAATATTTATCTATGCTGTTGGTGATGATTGGTTATCGGTGGCATCAGCATCATCATCATCATTGGCAACATCGACATCATCAACGGCAACACCATCATCGGCACCATCATCATCGTCATCAACATCGTTATCATCATCGTCACCATCATCGGCAACATCATCATCGTCATCATCAACATCGTCATCATCAACATCATCATCGTCACCATCATCGGCAACATCATCATCGTCATCATCAACATCATCATCATCGTCACCATCATTGGCAACATCATCATCATTGAAACATCATATGCAGTATCATCATCAGCATCATCATCAGCAGCAGCATCGTCGCTGTTGTCAGCAGTAATCGTCACTGCTGCTGTGGCCAGGATTGTGGTATTGTGTAGGATGTTACAAGCGAGCCACGGTGGCTAGGAGATGTTAACTACCTCGCCTGGTATGCAGGAGGTCGTGGGTTCGATCGCGACCCTGACGCCTGCTGCTGCTGTATATTGCAGTTTGCGTCTCTCTCATCATCATCACGGTGGCTAGGAGATGTTAACTACCTCGCCTGGTGTGCAGGAGGTCGTGGGTTCGATCCCGACCCTGACGATGCCTGCTGCTGTATATTGGAGTTTGCGTCTCTCTCCTCGTAGTGGCGTGGATTTTTCCCTGGGTCCTCCGGTTTAGAATCGACGTCACCACCGCGCGTTTTAGAGCATTTGGCTGTTGCTCTACATTTCCACGCGGCGATGACGATGATGATCCACTTCGTTGAGCTATCATTTGCGATAGCAAGGTCGCTTCTGACGGAGAACTACATAGCTCAGTGGGCCTTACCTGGTATAACAAAGATTGTTTCTAGTTTAGTTTGAGGTGTTTCACGGCTCAAGGTGTGAGACACGCTGCTAGCATCGACTCTGTTTTTTTGTGGCACAAAGAGGGGGGGGGGTGGGGGCATCTTAATCGCATTTCTCAGAGGCCTTCATCCAGCAGTGGATAGACCATTCCTGCTGCTGCTGCTGCTGCTGAAGATGACGATGCTGACCATGATGCTGACGACGCCGCCGCTGCCGACGGCGCCCGGCGATGCCGATGTCGCGATTGGCGTGGACACGGTTCACGGCCGCGAGGACATTTGCATCTCCATCCGCGCGTGTGTCCACACGTGCCCTCGCACGCGCGCTCGCACGCGCGTGAAGGTGACGCACCGTCCTGTCGTGTGGTGGCGGCCCCAGGTGCTGCCGCTACCGGCGGGCGTGGCGGTGAGGACGCGGGGGGAGCGGCGGCGCAGCGGTTAGCGCCGCGGCTGCCGACCGCCGGCCCGCCCGACAGTCCCGGCCGCCGCTCACGGCCGCCCACGGCACCGGTGGCGGTTATCACGAACCGGTCCTGGGGCCTCCTCGCCTAGGTCGACTCGGCCTCAAATGAGTACCCGGTGCGGTAAACATCGCCACTGGGGAGACAAAGGCGGTCGGGCGTGGTGCTGGCCACCCGCCCCCTCGCGTGCCGTGCCAGCCTTCACAGGTGCTGCTCGCTAACAGCACTTGCCCCTACAGTCTGTTAAGGTTATATGGGGGATCTTTGTCTTTGAGGGTGTGGAGAGGTGAGTCTTTGGGTCTCTGCGTGAGTCTATGGGCCTCTATGAGTCTCTAGATCTCTGTGTGAGTCTATGGGCCTCTGAGTCTCTGGGTGTCTGTGTGAGTCTATCGGTCTCTGTCTGAGTCTATCGGTCTCTACTTGAGTCTCTGGGTCTCTGTGTGAGTCTCTGGATCTGTGTGAGTCTGTGGGCCTCTATGAGTCTGTGGGTCTCTATGCGAGTCTCTGGGTGTCTGTGTGAGTCTATCGGTCTCTACTTGAGATTTTGGGTCTCTGTATGAGTCTGTACGTCTCTCTGTGAGTCTGTGGGCCTCTATGAGTCTCT